CTAGGATATACAACTATGTACTGGGGCTTTAGGGAGAAAAGAAAAAAGAGAAAGATTGGCAACAAATGTTAGCTCAGGGCCAATCTTCCTCACCAAAAGAAAGAAACAAACAAACAAACTATTATGCCCTGCCATGAAGAAATAGAAAATAGAACAGGCTATATAGCATTACATTAAGAGTCGATTCTGTGGAAGTTTAATTCCCTATGCTTGTCAAAAGTTGTTAAAACATTGCTAGCCTTTTTTGAATATAAAATGTGGGCAGACATGTACTAATATATCAAAAAATGACACTTTGTCAAAGAGGGCTTTCATGGGAGAGTGTTCTGAATAAAATGTTTTCCTTTAAAAAGAACTCGACCTGTTTAACATTCGAAAGCAATCACGAAAAGAACGCAAAATGCCTGAACTTCCTGCTAGTCACAATAGTCAGTTTCATTTACCCTTTAATATTTTTTTTAGTATTCCAAAAATTGTTCTCCCAAAAGAATTATCAGTTTTATTCCATGATAACCCTGGTTTGAAGTGAAATAAAAGTAACTCTGACCCTCCTCAAAATGGATTCTTTTCACACTTACTAGCACTTCCAATAGTATGAAGATGATATGCTTGGCTGTGTCTACTGTTAGCCTCGATGTAATTATATGTGAAGCGACAATTCCCTTATCTATTAGGAACACTTGCTGCGGCTAACTGCATTTACTGTCTGGTAGATGAAATACAGAATTAAAATCTCAAACTAGTTTCTCAAGTTTTTTTTCCCCCAAGTCGTTTTAAAATCTTTTAGCCTAGGGGAAGATGGTAGCCGGAAAAGAACAGAAAACAGGTGGCATTTAAGACCGTCACAAGATTAGCAAAGCAGTGCACCTGAACATCCACCCCTACCGGTTCCTCAAATAGTCCGTCTATGTTAAGACGACATTTCAATGGTTCCACTATTTCAGACCTTCCGAGGCTGTCCAGCGTTAAAATAATGGTTGATGGTTGAAATGTTAAACTGAAAAATCAATAGATAATTGGCTTTGACCACAATCTCATATCATCTTCTCTAAATAAGAGGGATATTTGTATATGTTACTCACATTCTTTTCTGAGAATGCACCTAAGTCTAGCTCTTGAGTGGGCATATCACTCATTGTTTAGGAAACCAGGAACAAGGACTGGAAGAACAGAAACAGATGGTGGTTGAGGTAACTGAGATACAGTACAGCTTAAAGACATCGTGGAACGCCGCATAATAGCACTAGGGTGAAAAGAAGAGGAATGTTCTACAGCTTCACTGGATGTGTAACCTGAGTCTGGTTTTATAGCCTGCTCAGAATTAAAATTTCTAAAGACGGGCAGTGCAAAAGGTTTGAGCTAATGTCAGAGAATGGTAGGAACAAATTTCCTCCACTATAAGGGTTTATTGAAGAGTAGAAGGCCCAGATTTTAATAAAACTTTGAAAATTCTGCATATATTGGTATGAGAAAATACTAATATTGGGAGCAACAGATTTTAGCTACTGATGGTACAACCAAGTGTGTTACCTCACCTTTTAATTAACTCACACTGTTATTGCAAGGAAGAAATGTTTTGTTGTGTTGTTGGTGGTGGCCGCAGTAAGCATCTCACAATTGAGAATGCCTTCCTTAGACCTCTGATGGGGAGCTGGGGCCAGTACGGTGCAGAGCTATGGAATGAGGGTCCACATCCTGCCTCTGTGACTTACTAATTATGTGACCCTGGGCAAGTGCCTTAGCTCCCCAAGTCTCGCTTTGTTCCTCTGTAAAATGAGTCTAGTAATACCACCTCATTAGGCATTTAATTCAGTGCCTCATGCATATTTGGTGCCTAACAAATGGTAGCAATATCGTTAATAGACAAATGTGCACAGCTTAGAAATTTTGTCCACCAAGCACACCAAGGATTGTGGGATATTTGCGAATTTGGTTTTTCGCTGAGCCAGGGCACCCACTCTAGATGGCTATTATGAATCTTTTAGAACATCCTCGTAATCCATAAACCAGGAAAAATTGTTCTACATTACCACCCACTCTCTCTTGGGTCCTGTGTATATAGACAATGCTGTTTGTTTACATAGAAGTTAAAATCAGAACATTTCCTTGAAAGCACTTTCTGGTTACCTTATCAGACAGACTCAAAAGTTTTATTACACTGATTGTTACACACTTGTGAATCATCTGCTAAAACTAGTGGTTCCTCCTAAATGTATTAAAGCCAAAATTAATTTATAAAATTTAGATCCCTTTAAAGTTTAAACAATCATATCCTTGATTATAGACTATTATTGCCTGGGAAGTTAAAGAATACATCATCTGTCTAAAGGAAACATCAGTAACATGGACATTTGATTCTACTGCATATAAGCCATGCCAGAGGTCCTGCGGTCATACCTAACGTAAACAGCTCACTATGGATTCACAATCAACACCAGCAAGAGATGCAAAGTGATACGGGTTTACTTTAGTATTAAAGTTTGACAGCACTTTTGAGCTATTTTATAAATTAATTAATTTCAAAATGGATGAGGCAGTAACATTGAGGTTTAGCTAGTTATGCTTAACTTAAATATAAGCATTTCATATAAGCATTTTAATTAAATACAAGACTCAAGCAACTAATCATTAAAAGTGGAATTGGTAACTTGAGATTCATCGTGAAACCACTTGTACCACATTCCTAATGAATTCTTTCCTCTACTTAAATAAAAGACCAAAATGTATGTGCCCAAAGTGGCAGCTAGTAAAAAGATAACCCTTTCTTGGGTCATGGTTGTCAATTTGATATTGAATCAGAGCAAAACTGCTTTACTACAGTCTCCTAGATACAGAACTGTAATTAATATTTGTTAAACTATTTCCAACTTGACTTATATTTTAGTTCCACTAGTATCTAAGAAAAACCCTAATCATTCTAATAGTATTTATTAGGGCAAAAGAAAATGGATATATTTTACTTAAAAATTTTACAGTTTTTATAGAGGAAATTTCCTTCTGAGGAAGAAAAATCTAAATAATTTTATGATTTAATTTTTTAAATTAAAATAATTTATTACAGCTTCAAAATAATGAGCAGTAACGCTCTGAATAGCTTCATTTTATAAACTGTAGATCTATATTCCAAACTCTGTAAGAATATACAAATATATTAGTGTATTCAAATTTGTATATATAAATTGGTATATGTTTAAAAAAAGAACCATTGGCTAGTCCTTACAGTGCAATGTAACTATCATTTAACCTAAACCCTGACACCTGATAGGTGCTTAATAAATGTTTGTAAATTAAATGAATAAATATGTTGATAAATTTTATAAAATATGTTTAAAAAGACTCTCTTTTAAAATCAATGTTATATCTTATCTTCTACTTTAACCTACTCAATTAGAGTAGTTGATAAAACTGAAGTGCATCTACTCAAAGATTTGAAGGCAATGTGTTTTTCTGTTATCTATTGGTTTTCTGTGTCCTGGAATTAGTACAAATGTTAAGAATCTAAAAGACAGCAGGGCCTCTGCTGGCTGAGAGAGGGTGATTTAAAGGCAAGTTAGCTTGTTTTCTTCCTTGTACAAAACACCCACAATTACTGATTGTCACATTTGTCTTCTGTTGTAAAAACTGCACTAATTGAAGGTACGACCCTAAGGGGATGCGTTCTACAGGGTAATGAATGTTGAGTGCCCTCTCGAGTTTAGCATTTTAATTATTCTTAATTATAATGATTTCTGTTTATTTGAGAACTTTAGAAATAATTCTAGTTTATCAAACATTGAGAAGCGGAATGGTTGAGCCTCTGTTTTGTTTTGTTTTGTTTTATATTGAGGTCAGCGGGCCTAGGAACATGCCAAGAAGTTTTCACAAGCAAGGGAGCAGGTTTTCTGGCTAAAATGTGAACACTGTTGATGTGTGACGTGTCCTGAAATACTGAAGGTGCACTTTTTTTCTACTCATTCTCTGGTTTCACCAGAACTGTCCGGGTGATATTGGGATTGTAAGGTGAAGGGTTAACAAGAATTCAAGTGGAAGAACTGGAAATAATGTATGAAAGTATGTTAATCAGAGAAGAGACAGTCACAATGCACTTGGTAGCCGTCTACTAGCCAAGTCTATAAATTTTTAGTCTTTTCCTTTTCTTGAAAGAGACCGTGTGTGTGTGTGTGTGTGTGTTTGCTTTGCACCCTGAATATAATGGATTCAAGTTAAAAATGGATATTCTGGCCATTTTGGATTAGAATAATCTTTAAGTGTACTATTATCAAATATATATTAGTGATGATGTATTGGGACGGGCTCTAACAATCTATTTAGATGTCAAGTACACTCTTAATAATAGTCTGAAATAACAACGAAATATTACTTTAAAAAAAGTTTGCCATTGCAAATCTGTTTCATTGCAATCTGTTTCATTTTCCTGTGTCTTTCGTTTTTTTTCTCTCTCCAATACAACACTTTAGTTTTAGAGCCAAACATGTACTCTGCAGCTAGAGAATTACTCAGGTCTCTTGGTAGTCTATATTCAACTTAGGAAGAAGCAGCAATTGCTTAATATATTCAAGTGATAGCAAAGGTAAGAGTGATTGATATGGATAATCGTCTTATGGTTGTAAAAAGGTCAGTCGAGATGCACAATATGTAGCTTTTTTAAGGAGAGTCCATTTAACCACTGTCACCTAAAAATTTCAGCAGCCAGATCAGAAACAAGATTCTGCTACAAGAACATGATTGAAAGTACATGTGGGTAGCTCCCAATTTACAGGTCCATCTCTGATCAAAGGGAATTAACAATTAGATAGTCCAGGGTTGGCCTCAAATGTGAACTCTACTCTTCATCAGCAAATTGGCTAATAAGAGACTTGAGCACAGTTGAAAAAAAGAAATCTTCTGATCATACATAATATATTTCATGTTTGCACACAAATTTTTACCCACAGCTACTAAGGAGCAGAGAGAAAAAAAGACTTATTGGAAAATCACTTTGCCTTCATCTCTACCCCCAGGTGCTAACAAGCAGGGAAGAAGCCAAAAGGACAGCTGGCAGGCGATGTGAGGCCATGGAGTATCCACCAACTGGATAATCATTGCTGGAATAATTGGCAAGTGTCTGAATGTAGGTATGTGTACTGAAGACCTCGGTGTGCTCTTGCAATCCATTATCCAACCTTTCTTACGCCCATTCAGGTTAATCACCTGCTGTCTCATCAGCCTTTTGAGAGTGCTACTTGACACGACTTGGCATGCGCGCACACATGCACACAGCCCCTCACAAACTCCCAGTGGCTATCCAGCAGGAAGTCCCCCCTACTCTCCTGGGCTTTTAAAACATTCTACAGAATGACTTTAAACTGACACCTGCCCTCTGGTCTCAGTGTTCCCATATAGAAACCTTCTTCCGCACTGACACTGAACCTCATTTACTGAACACAGAAAGCCTTTGTCCTTGCTGTTCCCGCTATCTGAAATAACATGCTCAACTCCTCTTTGCTGGTTTTAGTTCTGTTTTTTCTCCAAGACCTAAGTCAGGTTTCACCTACATTACAAAATCTTGCCGATTTCCCATCCCAATTATTTCCCTTCTTCCAAACTTCTGTAGGACTTGTAGTTATGCCCCTCTCTGGCATTTGATGACCTGTATCACGTATTGTTTTTTCTCTCCTTATGCATATATCCTGTGTCCTCAGGGTAACTGTCTATTTCTGGAAAGGCAGGATCTGTTGCATTTTTATATACCAGAATCCAGGATGAGGGGAAATGGGAGTGTCATGAGCTGCTATGACGGAGGGAGGGAACATAGAGATGTGGTTAAGAACACAGACTCTGGAGCTAGACTGCCTGACTTTGAGGTCTTGCTCAGCCAATGACTAGCTGGGTGACCTTAGCAAGGTTTTTTACAAACTTTCTGTGCCTTGATCTCCTCATCTCTAAAGTAGGAATAATAATAACTCTCCATCTCCTTGAGTTGTTATAAAGTTTAAATGAGCAAATAAATTTTAAAAAGGCTTAAAATAGTCTAATATACATATTAAACACTCAAAAATCATTACCTACTTATTACTGTACATACGGTAATAGTCCGTCTCAATTAATTTTCTCAGTAATGCTATAAAATAGATGGCATTGTCCCCACTCTAAAATCAGGAACCCTGTGACCCTGCACTGCCTAAAATCACGAAAAGAGTCAGATTGAGAACCAAAGTGTCTGACCCTAAATCCTGGGCTCTTTCGCTCTGCATGTTGCCTCTCACAGAGGTGCGCAGTGACTAGTTACTGTTGATAATGAGGAAATTTATTCTCCTCCCTTCTTACAGTTTAAACCAAAGTATGGTGAGATTTCACTAGATTTGACCTTTTAATGAGTATTTTCACTGTGAGATGTTTTTAGTTAACTGTAAATACTTTTCTTATGGGCTAATCCAACTGAGGTGGAGTCGTAAATTCTTTTCTTTTGGTCTGAATCAGAGGCTAAAATTCAACTCAACAAGTATTTCTGTTCCCAGACACAGAAGGAAAAGGATGGAAAAAATACCAAATGGGTATTCTCGCCCAGGGTACTTTATAATCTAGGTAACTCAAGTAATGGAAACAAAGCAGAAACATCTAATCTGTTTTTTGACCTTTCATTCCTAAATTCCCTCTGTTATTGGCTCTTCCATGGTCCGTCCCTCGCCCTATGTAATAATATAGGTTGGATACAGTATCATTGTCACAAAAATAACACTTTGGAGTGTGGGGGAATGTGCCATTCAAGAGCCTTATAAAATTTATGAGTTTTAAAATCGTGTTATTCTATTTGAAATTCTTTTGAAGCACTTACATGAGCTCTGTCAAACTTGGCAGACTAGCCCCTCTTGGAATCTTTTTATTTTCTAGGAAATCATCGACAAGTCTTGTTCTTGTCACTGCCAAAATTCCTTGGCTGCTGCTACTTCATCTGTGCATCTGTAGCACCTAGCACTGAGCTGGATGTGGTAGATGACTGATAAATCGTTGGTTAAATTAAATTCTGTCACCCTACTGATACATGAAATATACTCTGCCCTCCTGGCCCACCAGTGAATTACAGAGTAGCTTCAGAGACCCTCTGTCGACCTAAACAAACTACCTTTAGGTGAAGTATCACCAAGAGAGGAGATTGTAAGGACTAACATTTTCGAACACTTCCCTTATTCTGGGTGTTTTACTTTACACGCACCATTTTATTTAGTCCTCAAAGTAACGCTATGAAGTGGGTATTGTTATCCCCCATTTGCCAATAAGGAAGCTAAAATTCGGAGAGTTACCCAACATATTTAAAAATCACACAGCTTGTGAGGAAGAATTTCCAACACAAGTCTAATCCAAAGACCAACAAATGATGAAGCAGTAATGCTGGTTAAGTGAGTCCCAGGTCAGAGTCATGAGGCAAGTACACTGTTTTGACATTAACCTCAAGTGACTCAGGCACATCATAAAACCTCCTGATGCCTCAGTTTCCTCATCTCACGAGACATTATTATGAATATCAAAATATTTTATTTGCAAAATGGCTTTGAAATGATCATTGATGCCAGAAACATAAATTATATTTATGGATCTGGTAAACGTAAACACTGAAATAGTAAATAAGTCCTCAAATGGTTTGAAATCTCCAGTAGGTGATGGAAGGTGGAAGCAATGAAAAGAAAGGAAAACCAAAGATAAAGAAATGCCATGGCTGTGTAGAGATTCTGGAAGCAGATCTAGAAAAGATTGTTCTAGTACCAATGCTGATCCAGTGCTGTCAAGTTATCAGTTACTAAGTGGCAGTTACCCTTATAAGATGTTATGTCATGTTTTAAAATGTAGGTGTAATGGCCATAATCACAAACCAAGGACTGGCATAGCATGAAACATTGGAAATCAGGACTGTTGCATATGGAGCCAAATACCTTGTATAAGGAATGGTTGTGTGGCAAGCTACTCATTTGAAGGACTAAGAGTAATACCGTCCTTAAACACACGGTTCTAAAAGTACCTGTGCACCTCCCGAAGTGCCTGGAACACCCGAGGGGCCTCAGCGGGATTCAGCTTGCTGCTTCTTGAGACAGTCTCTTCAAAAGTTTTCCAAAGGAGTTAATGGCACTTCAGGTTGTGGCTGATATCTCCCTTTGACCTTGTAGAAACTGAAGGGAAATAAATGTATTTGATGAGATGTTAGCACGTGCTTCAGTTATTGTGGTAGTAAAAACAGCTCAGTCTCAGAGAACTTTAAGGTGCCTTCCATTTCTTAGCATTTAATTGCGTTCCTACTGAGGTTAGATAATAAGTCATTAATCTCAGCATATGACCTATATGTATTTAGACTTACGAAAGTTACCCATATTTTTTCTTTTCATTTATTTACATGAAAAGTTGCAGAAACCATCTACTAGAGTTTTAAAAATTGTACTCTCACCTGAATGAGAGCAGGCAACCTAGCTGACACTTTCAACAGTATTCAAGAAGTCAAAGGGAAATTAAGAAACCAATTTCGGGGCCGGCCCAGTGGTGCAGCGGTTAAGTGCACTAGTTCCACTTTGGTGGCCTAGGGTTCGCCGGTTCGGATCCTGGGTGCAGACATTGCACTGCTTGGCAACCCATGCTGTGGCGGGCGTCCCACATATAAAGTAGAGGAAGATGGGCACAGATGTTAGCTCAGGGCCAGTCTTCCTCAGCAGAAAGAGAAGAATTAGCAGATGTTAGCTCAGGGCTAGTCTTCCTCAAAAAAAAAAAGAAGAAACCACTTTCCTAAGTGTCTTTTGTTGAAGCCTACCTGGCAGACCTGTGCTTGCAAGATCTGCTGCTGAGACGTAGGAGCTGTGAGCAATTGCTCCATTCCACTTGACCAATTTCAACTGTCGAGCATTTCTAAAAATATACTCCTATGACAATAACACATTTAACTTTTTTTAATAGCCTCCTTAATATTTGCAGGTTATCATTATTGTTCATTGTTAAGCATCTTGATGGTAGAATGGGTTCCAAGGATAATGATTGGTGTAATACAGCAACAAATGGCTAATTTGGGGAATAATTTTACAACATAGTCCTAAATTATAAAGGTATCTTATAAACTGTCACTATACAAATGTTATTTGTAAGAATAATTTTTGTAATACCAGATTATGTTTTTCTGCAAAGTAGTGAAATATGATAGAAATTTTCCTACTTCTGTTACTTAAAAAATACTCATGAACATGAGTTCTTCAATACATAGCAGGGTGGTACCTGTTTGAGAGAAGACCCATGAGAATTATAATATCTGCTATTCATAGGGTGCCTGTTCTATGTTAAATACTTTAAAATAAGTCATTCTTAGTCTTCAGAATGTTCCCATGAGGAGATTTTATTTTCCTCATATATTCTCTTATACAACTGGGGCTCAGATAGGTTAATAAATAGATTAGTAAACTAGTAAATGGTAGTGCCACAATTCAAACCCAGATCTTTTAGACTCTAATCTCATGCTCTTTAACTATTAGCGAGCCATGCCTCCATAACAGATAGAAGGTAATGAGTAAAAAAAAACCTCTCAAGACAAAAACAATAATAATAGCTACCGTTTACTAATGTGTCAGGCACTAGGCTAGGTACCCAAAGGACTTTAAATTTGTTATCCTAATAAACAGCTCAAAAGGAGTACATTCATCTCAGGTTTTTCAGATGAATTGGATATTAACATTCCCGTTTGCCTTGTGGGAAATTTAAGGTTCAAAGTTATTGAGTTACTGACGTTAGATGACCCACCTGGTAAATAAGAGAACGGAGTTACCAACTCAGGTCTTGTTGACTTCGAAAATCCATGTTCTTTCTGCAGAATATTATAAGCTAAAATATATATCTGATTTATAAAATAAAGACTCTGGACTGCTGCATAGTTATCTCTTTTTCTCTGAATTTATCCTTAGAATGATTTTAGTTTTACTTAGAAATTACTGAGTTTCCTGTTGGTAAGAAACTTTCAGAAAATTAGTACTCATTCAATGAAAATGCACTAGTTTGTGTTTATCCTTAATGGTGCCTATGTTTACATTAAAGTCAGATTTTATTTATTTATTTATTCTTTGTGAGGGAGATTGGCCCTGAGTTAACATCTGTTGCCAATCTTCCTCTTTTT